CCTCCTCTGAGCACAGAAGCTCCCCCACCTCTCCACACTGCATCCGGAGTGGCAGCAGAACAAGGAGGTACCAACAGGACAGCAAGTGGTGACACCATCACAGACTTGAGTCGGCACGGAGAAGAAAGCTCACCCAGGACTCCTAACTCTTCTGGCCCCCTATCCCATGCTCCCCAGGCCCTGGTTCCATAGGTGCTCCAAGGTCTAGCCTTGGCTTTCCCTGGCCAGCTTTTCTGGCTGCAAATTCAGGAAGTGTTGGCTTGGTTTGGGCAGAGTAAGTGGGGTCCCCTAGCTCTGGCACCACTGTGTTGTGTGAACTTGGACAGGTTGCTTAACCCAGGCCCAGCTGTGAATGACTTAAGACAGCAGTCAACAGAATCCCTGACGGCTGGTCCTATCTCCTGGCCTGTCTGTCTACAGGCCTGTCCCACACACCATGCCAGGGCCTGGGCTGCCCAGACCTGAGGAAATGACACCATCTGGCATGCGTAGATCAGCGGGGTATTCCATCTTTGTGTTTCACACATGCTGTGGGGGCATTCCCGGCTTGGCCTTGTGTCTTCAAGGGGAGGGAACCAAAGGGGACACCTTTCGTCTGAGCCTGGACTCTGATTCAGACCAATGCCGGTCTCTGTTCCATTTTGGACTGTGGTTCCCAGTTACTCACCACAGAAATGGCCTAGCTATCAGGGTAAATTCCAGCCTGGTTCCCTCTTCGGTGAGCCTAGCCTCTCCTGCATTACCATGGCCTCAGAGTAGAAGGGTTGGGTGGGTCCTGGGGAAGTCGTGTTTGCAGACCCTCCTGAGAGCCAGGACCCCCCACCCAGGTCCCCTGAAGTGGGCTTTGAGCAGGATACCTTCTGGTAGAGAACACGGGGCTGAGAAGTGAGGCATCTGTGGGCCCTGCACCCCTGCTCTCCCCTTCCCGGCTGGGACCATGAGCTGTGCCCCATCACGCCCAGGGCAGCCGTGAGGCTGGGGTGAAGGGAATTACAGGCCATTTTCAGTGCAATCACCTGAACAGAACTCACTCTTCTCTTGGGCCGAAGAGTTATCTTTCCAGAGAGCAGCTGAGGGTGGCTGGTGCTGATCCGTTCAGCCTCTCCTACAGTTTACCCTGACTCAGAATCCTTGTCTGCAGCCCTCCTCAGCCCTGTTCCTGACACTCCCGCTCACTACTTGGAGCTCTGGGACACCTAAAGATATCAATGGGGCCTGTTGCCTTCCAGCATGTCTGATCTCAATCCCCCACCAGCGCCGTAACCCAACAGGTGTGTCCAGGAGACCAGGTGGGAAGAGTCCCGCCTGCACCTGGCAGGGCCACAGGTGTAGGGACAGAGAACTCTGGTCCTCCAACAGGCCCTGCTGTCCTTGCCGTGGTTGCCTTCACAGCAAGTTCCCCAGAAGTGAATGAAGACATGAAGTCAGCACTTGACGGGGGACCTGAGTGGGGAACATTCTGCAGGAAAGTGGGGTACTCTCCTTCTAGGGGGACAACCAGAGCAGGAGAGGGCCTACATCTTTGTCCCACAGCTGTCCTGCCTGCTCTATGCTGTCTGTTTGAGTAAACAGGGGTGTGTGGGGAAAGCAGGAAGCCAAAGGGGCCACGATTGGCCCACTTCCTGCCTCACCCCAGGAAAGAGGAAGGTCCCCATTCAGGGTTCTCAGCCTCTGCCAGAGACAGGTCAGGGTAGGAGGTATGCTGTCCAGTTCTCAGTGTGGATGAGCTATCCCTTCAGGACACTCCACCTGCCACACAAGGGGTGCTCAGTTCCTGTTGGATACAGGAGGAGGGTTTGTGTGTGGGGGGTATGCAGACATGGGAGAAAGGTGAAAGTGTGATTCAAGAAGAATGGGGCACCAAAGATTGAGCAGAAAGTCTGGGCTACAGCCTTGAGCTTAGAGAGGCATGGCAACTTCCTGAAAGTCACCCAGCTGGCTAGGAATGGGGTTAGGAGTCAGCCTAGGTAGCCATACCCTAAAGTTACAGAGAAGGAGACAGCTTCTGGTGACATTCCTGAGTACCCCAGTATCCATCACTCCAAGACACTAACTGAGAGAGAGAGAGCCCAGGGATGGCTAGGTTATGCTAAGGTCACCTAAAGGCCTAGTGGTAGTTCAAGGACTAGGATTCTTCAATACAAAGTCTCAAGATGCAAGAGCCGGTGGCCTTTCTCTAAGACTCTAGGGTAGGCCATCTCCCTAAGGAGCCCAGCTCTTGGCTCCACCCACCCAGCTCAGCCCATTCCAGCCAGTACCTTGGCCCCGAGGCGAAGCTGGTCAATAGTGTTCTCAGCCTCCGCGTACTTGGTGAGGAGCTTGTGATAGTCCTCCTGTAGGGAAAAGATGCAGTCACCCCAGGCCACACATGCATGAGGACCTGGTTCCCATCCCCCAAACCTAAGTAAAAATGCCAGGTGTGGTGGCACACATTTGGGGAGGCAGAGCCAGGGGGATCTTTGGAACTCTCTGGCCAGCCAGTCTAGTTGAATTGGTGAACACCAGGTACAAGTGAGACCTTGTCTCAAAAACAAATAAACAAACAAAAACAAAAAAAAAAAAAAAACAAGTAAGGAGGAGAACCTAGACAGATGCCCAAGGCTGACTGCTGGCTTCTGTATGCAGGCATCCACACATGCATGCACATGTGTATAAGCACACACAAAGAACAGAAAAATAATTAAAAAGTGATAGTTCTTATCTACTCAGGATCACTGGCCTTACACAAAACTCTAGTTTTATTAATTCAGTAACTCACAACAGGGAAAAAAAAAACAAAGCAGATGCCATTGGTCGCCTGTGATGCAAGAGACTCTCGTGAAAATAAGTCATTGTTATAAAAGGTCAGATTCAGGGCTGGGGTGATGGCTCAGTGTGAGCATGAGGAACTGAGTTTGGATCGCCAGCACCTGCATTAAAAAGTCAAGCATGAACCTGGGCATGATGGCTCATGTCTTTAATCCTAGCACTAGAGAGGCAGAGGCAGGAGGATCTCTGTGAGTTCCAGGAAAGCCTGGTCTACATAGGGAGTTCCAGGACAGTCAGAGCTATGTAAAGAGAGCTTGTCTCAAAAAAAAAAAAAAAAAAAAGAACAAAAAACCAAACCAAGCCAAGTGTGGTGATGCATGTCTGTAGCTCCAGGACTTGAGAGAGAAGACAGGAGAATCCATGGGCTTGCTGGCCTGCCAACCTAACTGAATTGTGAGCTCCCGGCACAACGAAATATGGTGTAGAGTGAGACAGGAAGGTACCTTCTGAAAGCACACAAGAGGAGGGGTGGGAGGAAAGAGAGAAAAATAGAAAGGCTGGAGAGATGGTCCGGTGATTAGGAGCACTTGCTGTTCTTTCAGAGGACCCAGGTTTTAGGTCCCCAGCACTCACAAATGGTGCTACAGCCTTGGTTCCATGGGATCCGATGACTTCTTCTGACCTATACCTCATGGTCCAGTGGGGAGAGGTGTACATGGGAGACCACAGCCCGAGTCTCCAGCACTGATCATACCAACGGTCAGGGTAAAGGGAGGGCATGAAAGGTCCCCTGAGATAGGCCATGTACCTCAGCAGGGTGCAAGATGCGGATGACTACAGGGAAGGCCTGACTCCACAACAGTCATCTAGAAGGAAGAGGTCCGAGGAGGAAAGACAGACAGACAGAAGAGATTCGGAAAGGAGTGCAGGAAGAGCTGCAGAGACTTGAAAGGCACATGGGCCAAGTGCCACCTACGAGCCTTGTCTGACTCCAGCAGGCGGAAAGATCAAGCCACTGCTAAGTGCGGAGGGGACCTGCTTCTGCCTCTGCATGCGACCCTGTGGGTCAAGTTCTTAGAGTTAAACACAGACAATAAAATACAGAGTGACCGGGCACCTGGAATTTTGCTTAGTTCAGGAGGGGTTGTGGGAGTGGGGGAAGAAGTTGGGCATGGATGGAGAAGGACCCCGGGAGCTGCTTCAGGTGGATGTCGCAGGGCAGGGGGAAGGGTGTCCACCAGACTGTTTTCCTTCCAGATGTTATGGTTTTTGGGATAGCAGTGACTGAAGGAGGCATGGGCACGCTCACTGCTCTGCTGCTTTGAGACGGGGTTTCCAGTCCAAGCTAGCACAGAACTTGCTATTGCTGTGTAGCTAAGGATGGCCTCGAACATCTGATCCCCCTGCTTCTACTTCGTGGACTGCTAGGGTTATAGACATGTACCACCATAACCGCTTACGAGGTGCTGGGGATTGGTGCTAGGGCTTCGTGCAGGAGAGGCAAGCACTCCACACCGACTGAGTCACACCCCCAATCCTCTACTGCTCTTCTTTGAGCAAAGGCCAGGGTCTATTTTTGGCATGGGGATAGCTCTACCTCCACCAGCAGGGGCTCCAGCCCAGAGCTTCCCTACTCCAACAAGGAGCCTGGGTGACACACAGGGACAAGTGTCTTGCTTACCTGCAGTTGATGGACCAGCTCAGTGGCTTGTTCGGGTGTCTGGAACTCCTGGGGTACCCTGGTGACAGGGTGGGTAAGAGAAGGGTCGTTGGCCAGGGATCCCTCTCCGCCGCTCAGCAGGACATCTCGAACAATCTCAGCTGGCGACTTGAAGATTAGGGGTCTGGTAGGGCCTTGTTGCCTATTGTGGCCTCTGGACTTGGGGGGTCGGTAGTTCTCATCTTTGGGAAACTTCACCCGGGGTCCCACCTTGGAGAAGTCAGGGAGCGGGTAGTTCAGGCGCCCCCGGCCATACTTGGGGGCATCTGAAGAAGACTGGCCAGCCAGAGTGCCTCCTCCCCGATTGCGCTGCGACGCAACTTTCTTTACCGCCCCAAGCCGCGAGCTCATGGGGCTGAGAGAGCCGGTAAACCGTGAGGGCAGTGGCTTCGGTGACGTCTTAGTTCTCTTCCAGGTTTGGTCCTCAGGCTGAGAGCTGGGCAGGCCGGTGGTTTCTGGCCCCCATGTGCCTGCAGAGCACTGAGGATTCTGGGCTGGTGCTGCCAAGGAGTCCCGGAATTCTGTGGGTGTTGCCGGAGCAACGCCATCTCCGTTTCTGTCATCGGGCTGTGGGAGGCTGTGGTGTGGCAGCGCTTCGGCCAGCGCGGCAGGCTGGGGGACATCGGTGTCTCCTTCCCAGGTAGAATCAAGGCTGTCACTAGGTTGACCGAGACTCACAGTCCCACTGCTCCAGGACTTTGCGGGGCTGTGTTCAACAGATGGGTGGGCCGTGGAGTGTTCAGAAGGTCTGTGTTTACTGCCTGGTTTGACAGAGGCCACCCAGCCTCCGGCTGGTCCCTGCTCCAGAGCCGCAGGGCTGGAATCTCCCGGGTCTTCACACTCCAGCTCCGTGCAACTCTCTTCAGCTAACTCCACCTCAGGGCTTCCAGGGGCCTCATCCAGTTCCTCTTCGGACAGGTCCAGCTGCTGATTGTGCCTGGAGAGCCAGGGCAGAGGCAAGGTGGAACCCTCTGGGCTGCTCACATCATCAGCTTCAGTCTCTGGAAAGACAGGTCATTCATTGCTGAGCATGTCTTAGGTCTGTAATGCCACCTGAGTCACTTCAGGACCTCATGATGTGTGGATGGCAAGAACCTAGACACATCCCACGCAGCCAGGTACTTATGTGACTCTTCCCCTGGTCACCTCAAAGGTCCTCCAAATTCAAGCCTTTGATTCAGTCTCCCCAAAGTATGTCCCATTTCCACAAATGGCAACACCATCTCATATAGTTGTGTAAGGCAGAGCCTGGAGGCATCTTGGTCATCTCCCTCTCCTTAGTCCCTGATCCAGACCCATTTACCTCCTCTTACAGACATCTCTGCAGACTCCTGCCCCATAACTATACTTAAACTAATGTCTTCTTATGCTTAGATGAATGCAGTAACCACTTAACCACTCCCTCCTCAGCCCTGTCCCACAACCTGGAATCACATCACTTCTACCTATTGTTCTCAGCACAAAGCAGAGCCTTCACTGTGGTCCTGGGGTCTCTGCTGTACCAGCACCCATAACCCCACTGACGGACCCTGAAAAGTACTGTGCTTGCGTTCATCCTCCACCAGGGTCCTGTCTCCTTCCTGTATCTTGTGAGCTATTGGTTCTTCGGGCTGCATCTCAAGCTTGACCTTACCAGGGATGTTTGAAGCTCCCAGATAAGGTCCAACTCTCCCTCTGCAGGCTCTCACAGGCCTGGAGCCCTCTGCATCAAACTCCTGTTGTTCAGTTTGGGGATTATTTTGTTAACACAGGTTGCCAGAACTCTGCAAGCTTCCTAAGGACAAGGGCATTGATTGCTTTTGTGCTCTATTGCATTTGAAGAGCAGGTACTCAACACTGTTTCTCGACGGAGTAGAAAGAAGGGGAAAGATAAAGGGTGCACAGCTTCCAAAAAATAGATAGCTGCTGTAATTATTATGTAGTAGATACAATATTTACCTAACCATCCATCCATTCTTTCACCCATCCATCCATTCATCCATCTGCTTGCACCCCAGCCATCACTTATCATTGCATACATAATACACCCACCACCCATCTATCCTTTCAAGCATCCACCTATCTAAGGACCTGTTTACCCATCCATCCATCCATCCATCCATCCATCCATCCATCCATCCACCCATCCATCCATCCATCCATGGATCTATCTGTCCATCCATCCATCCATCCATCCATCCACCCATCTACTCATCCATCCATCTACCTATCCATAAATCCATTCATCCTTTCACACATCTATCCATCTACCCATCCTTCAAGGCATTCATTCATCCATCACCCAGCCATCATCCATCCATCCACCCATGCATCCATCCCGCAGGCAGCCATGTTTACTGAGTATCTAGTCTGCTCTGTCTGTGATAGATCCAGCTTTTCATGAGGAACACTGGGTAATACAGCACAGACTGCTCTGAATAGAGGTGCCTTTGTCATAACCCCTGTATGACTTGCTGTTTCATAGTGCTCTTCCCCCTAATTCTTTTTTTTTTTTTTTTTTTTTTGGTTTTTTTGAGACAGGGTTTCTCTGTGTAGCATTGGAGCCTGTCCTGGATCTCACTCTGTAGACCAGGCTGGCCTTGAACTCACAGAGATCTGCCAGGCTCTGCCTCCTGAGTGCTGGAATTAAAGGCGTGTGCCATCACCGCCCAGCCTTCCCCCTAACTCTTGACACTGCATATCTCCTGGTTACTTAAAACCGGATTCACCCAGCCACTCTATTTACATCAACACACCCAAAGACAAAGCTCTAAGATGGTAAGTGACTGGCCAACAGCTCACGCTGTGTTTCAGAGCAGTCCTGGACCTGGAACTCAAGCAAGGGTCTACCACCAGGGGTCATGCAGAAACTGCACTCACTCTAGGCTCTTCTGATCCCTGCCTGGGGACCATGCAGAAGTCACTCCACCCTGGTAGTCTAATTTAAACTTGGGGCTTGTTCCTCTTGTCTGCAGAGAGCTGAAGTGGAGGAAAGGAAGTAGCTGTTACATCATACCAAGTAGCTCGGAGGAAGAGGCACCTCTGCCTATGGCTTTAAACATCTCAGTCTCCAGTCCCTCAGAAAGGATTCATCTCAAAAATACACTTTTTTTTTGTTCAGCCTTAGAGCATTTGCATGGCTTATAGAAGGCTTAAGGTTCAATGTCTAGTAACACACACACACACACACACACACACACACACACACACACACAAAATAAAGACATAAAAGCAAGAAAACAGCAGGCATGAAACACTTAGGGTAATGGTACCAGTGGTTTCTCTATGGTCTACTGATTTAAGGGAATCAAATGCTGGCACATCCTATTCATAATCCAATAGAGGAGCCACTACGCATCAAGACATTCCTGTTCCTAATGGTGTCATCATGCCCATTTCATAGGTGGGGAAACCAAGGCTAGGGTGGAGAGTGGACTTGCATGGAAGAAGCTGAGAAGTCCCTCCAAGCTGGCCTCCTGGCAATGGGAGCAGAGCCATTGGAGCAGATGAAGAATGTCAACATCCCCTCTGCTGACTGGGGTTCCGAAGAATCCTTAGAATAAGCCTAAGCCCTGAGCTGAGCAATTCAAGTTACCAGAGACAGGATAGTGGTAAGTATGCAAAGAGGGCTGGATGCCATTCTCCTCTGTGCTACTCACCACAGCACAAACCAGAGGCTGGATCCTGCAGGGCAGGAGAGGCTGGCCCAAAGGATTATGGGAGAGCCCTATTCCATGCAGGTAGGTCTTAGGAGGGACTTGTGGAAGAATGTTGGGATAATGGGGAAAAGATTCCTAGGTACTGAGATAACAACAAAGCAAGCGACAATGGTGTATTCCAAAACATATTTGCATATTCATATAAATATTTGCATACTGGAAAGCAGTCTCACCTGGGGAGGGGTTGGATAATGAGCAGTTTTTAAATTTACCTCTTATTTGCTTACATTTTCCAAAATGCACAGTATTATTGTGCAATTTAAATATTGAAGGATAGAATTTAATTAAGGGTTGTAAAGATACCCCTGTTTCCTTGCCTATTCTAGAAGGTGGGCTCTTTGGGGAACAGATTACCACTGCAGGCTAGAGGAGTTCACCTCACCTTCTCCAGAAGACTCTTCAGACCCCTGCCTGTCTGGGTCCCACTCCAGGGGTGGTGGCGGGTGCTCCTGTGCCCGGCGGAAGTCCTCCAGGAGCTCGGGGCTGGTGGCTTCAGGGAGAGACTGCTCATTGCCCCAGCCTTGGTCGCTGCTTCCATCTGCATCTTGCTCCTCAGCCCAAGCCCAGCGCCGCCTGCGGGGCCCTTGCCCCAGGCCTGGCCCAGCCCAGTGTGCCTCTGTCCCTGAGCTGGCCATGGGGTTTGGCCTAGCTTCACCTGGGCCACTTCATCTTCGGGAGACTGAGCTGCAGCTGGGGGTCCAAGTCACAGGTGGCTCCTCTCAGCTCCAGCCATCTTGTCTGGGGCCTATTGGGGTACAACCAATGGATAACGTCAATCCTCGGGGCCTTCCACCATCCAGCCAGCAATTGACCAGCAGGATCCCCAGAGGCAGGTAGCCCTCCGCTGTGTGACCCTGGGTGACTCGCTGTCTGCATTTGTCATCAACGAGGTGAGGATTCCTCTTCCTCTAGGACATAGGGTAACATGCTAGCGGTCAGAACACTGTGCACGTGTCCCCTAAATGCCAGTGACTGTCACCGCACACCTCGCTCTCTCTGTCTGCAGGCACTAGGCAGAGACCCTCCTCACAGCACTGACTGCCCAAGGGAGGACATGCACAGATTAGCAAGCAGCAACTGTCCAGGTGAGGACTGATAGATGCCCTGCTCACATCACCCCAAGCTCAGGAAGTCAAGGAAGGCACCATGAGGTTTCCTTGAATCCAGGTTGAAAGCAGGCAGTGGTGGGCCGATTCCAGTGCCCCAACTAACTGAAAGCAGGCATGCACGCAAACAAGGCTCCACACATGTCCCAGCAACCCCACTCACAACACCCGGGCATCCATCCATCTGCATGGAGAAACAATTTGTGGTCTCTACATACAGCAGAGTATGTTATTCGGCTGCCGAAAGGGATGGGAATGACAGCAGGGAAAGGAATGAAGTCCCATCATGTGTGACGATGTAGATAAACCACTGAAGGGCTATGCTGTGAAAAACCCGACGCAAGAATTCTGTGTGTCTGAGTCCGGTGGGTGCAGTATGCAGACCAGGTGAGTCCAGAAAGGGAGGGGGCCACGTGATGCCTGCCACAGTGATGCTGGGGAGGGGAAAAGGGGGCTCTTGCTGCTCCGTGGGCGTAGGGCTTCCTTGAAGGGTGAGGAAAATGTTCTGGAAGTAGAAGAGCCACGATGCAACCCTGTGGCTACGCTAGGTGCTGCCGAGTGGTCGTTTCACGTTATATGAATTTCGCGTCAAAAAGAGCAACTAGAACTCTGTAGGCCAGGGGTGCTGGGAGTGCAGAGGCTGGGCGGCTGACAGCAGTGGGTGCTGGAAGGTGGGAGGCCAAACCCACAAAACCTCTCCTGACGTCTTCAGCAGCTGCACGTGACTCTCAGGCAGGGAGCCCAGCCAAGGGCAGTAGAGAAAGCCCTCTGTATTGCTATGGGATAGTGAACCAAAGTGGACAGCCTGGACAGAGACGGACTGTGGGAATGGCCCTGGTAGCAGGGGAGGGTGTTCCTCTTCCCCTCCTCATTCTCTCTTCTTCCTTCACACTCTATTTCTAATGCTTTGCTGGTATTTCCTGCGTCAATCACTGTGGTGAGCCCAGGAAACGCAGCCCCAGGATAAAGGCACAGGACCTAGGAGCTGCTGGCCACTCAGTTCACTAAGAATCCTGGCTGTCCACACTTAGTTTTTGTAAGGGTAGGGAAATTGAGGCCCAGAGAGGGAGGGCCCTTGCCCAAAGCAGCACATGGGGTGAAGACCAGGCTGGGGTGGAGGCCAGCCTCTTGGTACCAGCCTGGGCTCTTTCATCCAGGCCAGAATAGTCAGAATATAATCAGCCTCTGGAGTTGGGCGGTCAGAGTGGTCCTGGGGATCTTGGACCCTGCCTTCAGTACGCAGTTGGGAAAAGTCATCAGGCGGCTATTTCTAGACTCAGTTCCCCAGAGACCGGGGCTGCGTGGGAAAGGCTGGCTTCACAAAGGCCAGCAGTGACAAGGGCCGACCTTCCGTCGTTGACGCTGGCTTTAGGGATGGGGTTCAGGGGCTTCTCTGCCCGCCCCTCAGCCAGTCTTCCTCCCTGTCTCAGTTCCTGTAGAACCCCTACATTTACGGCCTGCCTCCACCCTGTCCCCACTCTGCCAGGCTGGCAGGAAGCTTGACTGATATCTGCCTTCCCATCTCATTGGTAAGACCAAGGCTCAGAACCGTGACTCAGTCGGGATCACCTGGTCAGTAAGCAGAGGTGACTCACCAGAGGTCAGTCCCGGCCCAGGGCTCTCTTCGTTGGCTGTGTTTGGTTTTGTAACCACATATCCCCAGCAGTAAAAATCTGCACAACTATACCTCTAGGAATACCTTCATCTGTATATCCGCATAATCAATATACTACATGTAATAGAAGGAATATTTTTAAATGAAGCAGTTGAGGGCTGGTGAGGAGGCTCAGCAGCTAAAGGCACTTGCTGCCAAGCCTGAGGACCCGAGTTCAATCCCTGGGACCCACATGATAGGAGAGAACTGACTCTCAAAAGTGCTGTGACCTCTACATATGTGCTATGGCAACACGTGTGTGTGTGTGTGCGCGCGCGCGCGCGCACACACACACACACATATGTACATGATCAAATGTAATTTTTAAAAGAATGACTAGAAAAATTCTTAAGTTGAGGCTGGGGAGACGGTTCAGCAGGTAAACAGCTGAACGGTTCAGCTGGCTGAACAAGCCTAATGACCTGAGTTCGAATCTCCAGAACCCACATAAGGGCTGGCTGCAGTAATGCAAGCACCTGTAATCCTGGCACACCCCTACCAGGAGATGTGAGGCAGAGAGGAGAGAACGCTGAGGGCTCGCAGGCCAGCTAACCTGGCATGTGCAGGAGTGAATGAGAGACCATCTCGAACAAGCCAGAAGGGGAGGCTCGATACTCCAGGTTGCCCTCTGACCTCTGCCGCGTGCAGTGCCACACACGGACCGCCCCATTCCCTACAGAGCCTGCACCCCTGCTCAAATCCATGGTGACGGGGATCTTGACCTTGAGTGTACATGAGAATTCTCTAAGCACTCAGTCTATGCCTACAGGATCCTGGCTCAGAGGCCCTGGGACCGGGCCTCGGAATCTTTAAACCAGGACCACAACAAGGCTTCTCCCATCTTCTGGCTCCCAGTGTGGAGCCGTGTGCAGATAGACGGGTGCAACCACATCTTGCCTCCTCCTGATGTCTCTGCAAGGAAAGGCTGTGGCGTGTGGTTTTCTGACGTTTGAAAGGTTATTTTCCCCCCCTAATCCACCGCAGAGCAGCCTGCCCAATCACAGAGACCTCTGCGTGCAAAAAGAGGAACAGCCTGCTTTCTGCAATGACTCAGTGGCAGAAATCTCACTGTGCTCAGCGGAGCCTGCACGTCACAGGCAGCAGCGGTCAGGAGCTACAGTTTTGCACCCACCCCTCAGGCGCCTCAACCTGTGAGCTTTTCCTGAGAAAGACTTTAGTCTCTTGTGCAAGCCACAGCTCTCTGTGCCATGGAGCCTGGGACTGACCAGTCGGGTAGTCAATCAACAAACACACATCAATGCCAAACATGTGCCAACCTCGAGTAGTAGGCTGAGCAGCAGGCAAGCAGAACCCAGCTCTGGTGTGACTGCCACCTGAGCATGTGACTGGCTGACGACTCCTCTCTCTACAGGGGAGAAGCGGTCACCCAGCCCAGCCACGGCTGTGCCCATCACCCTGCTCTGGCGAGCACACTTGCATGAGATGCACCAAATGAACTTGGAGGTTCTCATGCCCCAGGATACAGAAAAGCGTAAGCTTGCCAAGATCCTGCCCGTCACGGACGACGCGATCCCGAAAAGCCACTGAAGGAGGAAGTATGGGGACAGCTTTAATAGACCAAACACATCTAGGGGAGAATGAGGAAGGCCATCCAGGACAGAGGAACAGCACAGACAAAGGCATGGAGGTCTGAAAATACAGGCTGAACTTCAAGGAGAGCTGAGGGCCTGGCCCCTGAGTGTCACACACAGGCAGTGAGGTCCTGACAGCCGTCACTGGGCAGCAGTGGAAGCTGGTGAACATGCTAGCCGTATGAACTATGTCCTGACCCGGGAGGGAGAGCCTCTCTATAACTAAGGCCCGCCAAGGACTGGAACATTGAGCTAAAGGTCCCCACATGCCCCAGAGAAACTGCACCCCATCCCCAGGAAGCACCAAACACTGCTTTTCTGTGCCCTTGCCTCCCCCAACCTGACACCCATACAGCCCCGTCCTCCATGTCCTAACACACTCCAGGGACTCTGTTTAGCTGCTCACTAGGCATTCCCCTCTTCTCCGCTGCTCTACACAAGCAGGGTGTGTGTGTGTGTGTGTGTGTGTGTGTGTGTGTGTGTGTGTGTGTGTGTGTGAGTGTGTGTAATGGGAGGGGGTGGTTCCTGCCCTGGAAGTCTGAGGACCCTCCCTTGGTACGGCTACCCAGCCTTCAGCAATCTTGGCCCTCAGCAGCCCCATGCCATCCAACCAAGGACAGTCAGGGCATTCCCTCCCTACCTTAACCTTAGGAAACTGAGGCCAGGAAGGAAGAGAAAAGGGGCCAGGCTTTTACCGACTCTTATCTTGCCCTACTTTAGGTCCAGACTGGCCTCCTGGCCCCCAGAACATCCAGATTCTATCCCTGACCTTATGTGGAGAGGGGGGTGTCGTCTCCTGGCCTGCTGCTCACTTCTGCACATCTCCCCGGACCCTCAGCAATCCAAGCACTAACTGGCTGTGAGATGGGCCGACCCTGGGCACAGAGAGGGACCAACACTGGTCTAAGTTCACCAAGGGAACCAAATCAGAGCTGGAGCTGGACACGAGCATCCTGGAGTCCACTCTGGCCAGGGGGCTGGGCTCCCAGAGCTGGACAGGAGTGGCTGCAGCTGCATGGCTGTGACTTCCTGGCTGGGCTGGGCTGACTGCCAGGCTTGTCCAGGGAGTCTATGACTGGCCCATCCAGAGGGAAGGCGGCCTTCCCTCCGGCCCTCCTCCTGGCTCAGCTCCTTACCTCACTCGGACTACACCACCATCCTGCCGGCCTGGGCTCAGGGGAGCTGCCCACGAGGTCTTTGTTTCAAACCTGGGGAGCCCCCTGCCTCCACAGCACCCTGGACCGCCTCCAGACTGCTCTGCCAGCCAGAACGGCCTCAGCTCACAGTCAAGCATCGCTCCTCACTTCTCCCCGCCCCTGCAGCTGAGGCCTGGCCTTGCCTCCTCCTCCTCACAGGAAGCGCCCAGCCTGATTTCCTACAAGTGTTTGTGAAAAGGAGGGGGTTTGCTGTGCGGGGCTGGCGCCAAGAGCTTAACCCCTTGCTGGGCAACTGTGGGGCTGCACTGACTGGGAAGAGCTCCCAGGAACTACTGAGGCCTTGGGCTTCGGACCTTAGATGCAACCCTGCATGGACTGGCAGGGAGACCGAAGTCCAGGAAAGGCCAGGCGCTTGGCTAAGATCACATTGCATGCTGGCCCCGGGAAGGGGAGCCTGCAGCCCCCCATGGGGCCTCTTCAGCCACCAATGACTTCATCAGATCCTCTCCTCCCATTCTGTAGGTCTCAGTGCAGACCTTAACAACGCGGACTCAGACTCAGAGCTCGTTCACGTACAAGTCTCGTCATCTCAGGGAGGATTCTGGGATTTCTGTCTTTCCACGTGCTGTCCATACCTGGAGATAGATGCACCTGTAGTGGAACTTTCTAGGTAACCTGGAAGAACTGGAGGATGAGATGAATGCCCCCTGAGGTGGGTTCCCCCTCAGAGCCCCAGAGATGAAGTGCCAGCACTTGGGAGGCAGAGCCAGGCGGATCTCTGTGAGTTCGAGGCCAGCCTGGTCTACAGAGCGAGTTCCAGGAAAGGCGCAAAGCTACACCGAGAAACCCTGTCTTGAAAAACCAAAACAAAACAAAACAAAAACAAAAGTTATCTTGACAGTCAACCTGAGGCTCCCCAGCCCCCCTGGCTACTGTGGAGGGAGTGTAGCAGATGTTGGAAGCACTGCAGGGCACAGACATACCACATCTGGCTCTTCCCTCTATAGAGGAGTGTGTAGGCTTTCAGGTGTGTCTGAGGCAGAGCGTGAGAGACAGGCTGGTGACCCGCGTCCCAGCTGCTTCCGGTGTTTCTGAGCCTGAGGACTTATGGAACCAAGCAGGTTCTGAGCACCAGCAGTTTCAGGTCCCAGATGTGGGATGTGCCCTGGCCTAAGACACAGGCTTGAGAGGAACAAGATGGGGAGGTGAGGCGGGACCTTCAGGAAGGTCTGGGTGGGGGAGTCTACAGCCACACAAGGGACCGGAAGGACAGAGAGGCAAGAGCAAGCCACAAGCAGGGCTGAGGCGGAACATTCTAGAAAGGCAGCTTCAGAGATGTGAGAGCTGCTCCGGGCCTTGAAAACAACAAGGTGTGCTGTGAGAGGACTCGGGTGCCAGGGAAGAAGAAAGTACAGGAACTACCTACCCTTCAGGATCTGGGCTGGATCAGAGCAGCCAGGAAGAGGCAGGAGCCAGGCACAAGGCAAGAAGCTGCAGGATTTGCCCAGAGCCTGCTACTGGCTCCCCACTCCGCCCCTGCTGACCCAGAGCGTCAAGTCAGGAAGCACAAAAGACATGAAATCAACCCTCTGACATGCAGAAAGCCCTCAGGGGACCTCCAGGGAGTAGCCAGGCTAGGGGCCACCCAAGTGCGAGGGAGAGAAGGAATCTTAGTCCATAGGCCAGGGGATTCACTGTCAGCCTCACCTCCTGCAGGCTCCGTAACCTGGATGGCTCCACCGCCTTGAGCCACACTTTCCCCTTCTGTGAAGGAGGGCTAAACAGAGTGGCCCCTGCTCGCTGCCAATTCGATGATAGACAGAGTGCCCAGTGTACAGAACCTTAGAAGCTAGTTCAGCACCACAGTTTCTGTCCCCGGGGGGCTCCTTGGGTGGGAGTCTCGGGGCTCCTCCAAGGGCTTGTGGCTGATGAATGAATGGCCAGTGTCTGGCTAAGACAGCACCAAGCACCTTCCACTGAGTAACCTCTCAACCCCTCCATCCCTGTCCCTGCCTTGATTCCACATCTGGGTGGTAGGGTTCCCGCTGCAACCCCCAGGGACGATGGAACAGAGCCAAATCTTGCCAAGGCCTTCCCTGCTGCTCTGGCGACCATGTGGCCCATTGTGTGGGAGGCGGGCTCCCCTGACATCCTGTCACTCACTCACCCACCGCCCCCCATCATTAACCCGTCAGCACCAGGTGGCTGCCGCAGCTGGCACACCCTCGGCCTTGTTCAGAGGCGGCGGCGGCGGCGGCGGCGGCGGCGGCGGCGGCGGCGGCCAGTATTTGCTGTCCTTCGCCCTGCCACTTGGGCCTTCTCCTCCCGCTCCGTGCCCTGCTGGAACACCATCCCTGATTTACTCAGCCAAACTGAGCTTGGACACGGTAGCTTTCTCCTGTCCCCAGATGGGTCCACCCTTTATTCAGGTTCTCAGGCCAGACTGGGTGGTCCCCCTGGCCACTCCCTTCCATCGTGGAACTCATCTACCACGGAGTCCCATTTTCTGAGTTTCCTAAACTTCACCAGATCCTAGCCTTATCTCTCCCCCACGTATCTTCCAGAACCTTCCTCACCTGGATAGCCCTGCCCTTCAACCCCCAACAAACAACCTCATGGGATCTTCTCAAGCACAAGCTCCCAAACACAGCTTCTTATACATTTTTTTCCCCACTCAGGACACTGGTCCACAGCACTAGGACAACCAGAAGTGGCAGCCTGGCCTGCTCCAGCCTCCCTCACTCCCTCTGTGCTCACCTGCTCCCATCCCCACCTCCTCACTGCTCCCCAACAGAGTGCTCCCCAACAGAGTGCTCCCCAGTGCAGTGCTCCCCAACAATGTTGTTGCTTCTCGCCAATATTCACCTCGACTCCCTGTTGGCTTTGAGCTGCCTGCAGACCTGGCTCCTGCGTGACCTCCTTGGGACTTTGTCCTGGTGCTTACCAGGTGACGATATGGCCAGCGTTGGTCTCTTGACTCCTGACTCTTAAATATTTGGCATGGGTCGACACACAGCAGAAACACCACAGATGCATTCTGGACCATCCACTGCACCTCGCCAGTTGCCCAGGTAGCCGTCTGTAAGCCCCTAATGGTCATCAAGACTGGTGTGAGGGGTCCATCTCACAGCTGAGTACATAAGGTCCCCAGAGCCCACCCAACTTGCCCAAGGCCACGAAACTGGTGAACATGGTAGAGACTCAGATCCACGAGGACCTGGCTCCTCCCAACCAAGCCTAGTGCTCACCCCAGCCAGCCTGTGGAGATCCTAAGGCCTGTGTGCAGAGTGGGGGGTGGGCAGGGGGGAGCCCAAGGCCTAGGCTACAACTCCTCTGCAAAAGGAGGCTTTGTTCCCCCTTGGGGGCCTCCTGTGTGCTTCCTTCACCTGCTCATCAGACATAGAACTGGCTGTAGATCAGGACTGTTCTTCCACTGCTCGGGGGAGGATACTGAGGCCTAGAAGGAAGGTATTAGCCACCCAGATAAGAACCCTGTACCCTGGCCATCAGCCTCTGGAGCACAAGCCTCTGCTGGTTGCCCTGGCCTTGGGTCCAGACACTCCGTTGGACCTTTGCCCTCTCCTTGCCACTGCTTAGCCATCCTGCCCTCCCCTGATCCTTCTGGAGCCGCAGAGGTACAGCCCAGCTCTCTTGAGAAATCAGCGTCAGACACCATAGGAGTGGGCTGTCACTCCATCCCAGACCCTCCTCTGTCCTGGCTCTCCCTCCCTGGGGAGGTCACTCTCCCTCCCTGCCCAGGAGGCTGACCTTCCAGGTCAAAGGACACAGTGCACCTGGGTAGGGCCAGATGCCACAGAGGATCAAAGAGAGTGATGGAAGCCTAGTAAGGACCTCTGACTCCCAGGTCACCAGAGACTTAAGTGTTCCTTTCTCTGAGCTTTGGATCTGGGGCTTCAAGAGATGGTCACCAAGAGGCTGGACAGACAGACAGCTCAGCAGTTAAGAGTACTGCTGCAGTACTTGCAGAGAACCAGGGTTCAGTTCCCAGCATTTACATGATGGCTCACAACCACCTGTTCCAAGGGATCCAATGCCATCTTCCGGCCTATGTGAGCACCAGGCACACACATGGAATATAGACATACATGCAGAGAAAATTCTCACACACATAAAAATAAATGATGCTGGAGAGAGAGAGAGAGAGAGAGAGAGAGAGAGAGAGAGAGAGAGAGAATGAATATATTTGAGGTGATCAGAGGTCCACTGAACCTCCTGGACTCCATTGTGCTGATGTGTGGTCATGGGGACAGGCTGACACTTCCAGGGCTCTTGGAAGCTGAGTGACCTTGGCAAGAT